TTAAAAGTTTTACCACGAAGGGAGTTGTCCAGGGATCGAAATAAGTGGTAATCCGATGACGCGAGATCAGGGCTATATGGTGGGTGTAACATCAATTCCCAACCAATATCCATCAATTTTTGCCGAGTGGACAAAGACGTGTGCGGCCTAGCATTGTCCTGCTGGAAAATGACACCTTTACGATCGACCAATTCTGGTCGCTTTTCCTTGGCCGCTGCATTCAATTTGTCCAGTTGCTAACATTCACGGATAATAAAAAATAACATAATAATAATAATAATAATTTTATAATATAACATTTACGGATATCATAAAAATGGAAGTGAGAGACATCTATAACAGAGAATCGGCAATTACTTAGTTGCCAACCCAATAAATACAGTAATGTCTCTCTGATTGACGCTCGGATTGTGCCACGCAGATGGACATTTCGGGAAGAGTAGATACGATTATTCGAGGCTTGCGGTTTCTTTTTATAGTTACGAAAATTGTCGACAACTATAAAAACGAGCTGCAAGGCTCGTATAATCGTATCTCCTGTTCCCAAATTGTCCATCTTCGTGGCACAATCCGAGCGTCAATTAGGGAGACATTACTGTATCCATGACCGCTGCATTCAATTTGTCCAGTTGCTAACATTCACGGATAATAAAACATAACATAATAATAACGATAATAATAGTTTTATAATATAACATTTACGGATATCATAAAAATGGAAGTGAGAGACATCGATAACTGAAATCGGCAATTACTTAGTTGCCAACACAATATTTCGCGGGATGATTACCGACGGTAATTGATCCGCCCTGAACGCGATTAGGTCGACCGTAAAAACACGAGTGGGTGAAACAAGCTCTTGCTATAGGGACTGCGTACAAAGGGTTAATCTCGCGGCCGGCCCGTAAGTCTAGGGAGATGAGCCTGTGCACGGGTCAAGGCTTTACGAAATTTCGACCCATTCCTAAATTACCTCCCCTGCGACTCTCTCTCTCTACTCAGCGGTTCTCATTCACGGCCCTTTCCCTCCGCTAAGCCTCTAATTAGCACCTCACAGAAACACGGTGAATTGAATCGGCGAACTCGATGGAATTTTAATGTCGGCGAATCTTTATTTTCATTTCACGGCGCCCGAGCGGGGATCGTGTCTGATAAATTAGCACCGCGTGGACAGCACCGTGCAAAGTCTGCCCGATTGACACTCCGGTTATTTAACGTTCCGGCACCGCGGCGCGATTTTAACGCCTCGGATCTGGAGATCGGATCTTTATCGCCCGCGAACCATTATACGAATCGTTGAGTGAATTTCATTTTGCTGGTTAACGATGTCGGCGAATTTAACGTAATATCCTCCCCCCCCCCCCGTATATGTGTCAATGTTGCGATAAAATTTAGTACGTTATCCGTGATTGGTGGAGGTTTTAGGAGGACG